GACTATTACACTCCTTAACAAAAAAAAGGTAGTGGGGCTTCCAGGCGCGTTGCGCCCTCTAGCCCTGAAGATGTTTAGTATAAATGAAGTTTTTATTCGGAAAATTGTTAGTCTTCTGGGTCGAAAACATTATATAATATGTCACTTTTCACAAATTATATATGTTTTCATGTTTTGTCACTTTTCTGTCACTTTTCGGGTAAAAACATTATTATTATTATATATAAATGAATTTTACAAAACCACCGTTACCCTTCTTTGGAAATAAGAGTAGATGTAAAGATATTATATTGAGAGAACTTAAGAAACTACCGAATGGTCTAACATTTGTAGATTTGTTCGGTGGAAGATTCTATATATCCCATTTATGTCATACAATATTCCCAGACTCAAAGATTATATGCAATGACTTCGACAACTATATGGACCGTCTCAAACATATTCCAGACACAAACAATATATTGAAAGAGTTAAAAGAAAAGATACCTATAGGTAAGATGGAAAGTATACCATTAGATAAGAAAAATATTGTGAGAGAGGTTTTGAAAAAAGCAGAATATATAGATTGGGATAGTATATCTGCTAGACTATTATATAGTGGTGCTATAAGAGTTCATGACATTGAAACACTTATGTCAAAAGTTTTATATCTTAACTATACAAATGTTTTCAAAGAGGACATAGAAAAATATATTGAGGGTATAGAGTTTGTGAGATGTCATTGGACAGAGTTGTATGAAAAATATAAAGACAAGGAAAATGTTTTCTTTATAGTGGACCCGCCGTTCTATAACACATGGGATTTTCAATACCAAGTAGACTGGACTTTGAGAGACTCTTTAGAAACTTTAGACGTTATACATAACCATCCATGCTTTTACTTTACATCCGATAAAAGTGGTTTGGAAACCGTTATGAGATGGTTAGAGGACATACATGACTATGAGTTTATATATGACAAGATAGAATATGAGAGAGGTCCTATAAACTGGAGAAAGTGTCATAACAAAGAAATTTTACTAGTAAGTAAATGTGGTTTGAAATAGGATTACTTGTTTTAAGTTTTTTCCATTGTGACATTTATTTATTTGACGTGGCAGAAAAGTACAGAGAATATAAAGATGAACCAATGCCTGCAAATGTTCAGCATATGTACTCGTAAGAGATATTTTTATCTAATATTAAATGGACGCACAGAACTTAGCGAATGCACAGCAACCTGGACAACCAAACCCAGAGAATATTCCAAATGAAGTTAGAATACAAACTGCAATGGCAAACTATGGTCAAGTGCCAACAGATGTACAAATGCAAACTGCCATGTCAAATGACGCTGTGTTAGGTTTGCCACCATGGTATGCAAATATGAGATGGAAAGAGTTTTATACAAACCCTGAAGTGGGATATAAACAACTTTATGCAGATGACGCGAACACAGGAGTTGACCCAGAATATGTTTTCTACCAGAGGGAGAAACAGAATGTATGAGCTCCAGTTAAAGAATGCTATGGAACTCAACAGGAAACGTAAGAGACTAGGTGGACATTAGATTTTTACATATAGTAAAATGGGTTTCTTCAGTAGTATTGGAAACTTCTTCAGAAGAGTTGGAAGAGGTATATGGAATGGAATAAAAACCGTAGGAAGAGGAATTTGGAACGGAGTCAAAAATATTGGTAAAAGAGTAGGTCAGTTTGTTGGTATTATACCTAAAGACCCTGAACCAGAAGAACAAGCTCCTGTTATACAACAGCCTGAACCTGCACCACAGTCTAGTTGGCAACCAAATCCAACACCTCAACCGTATTAAAAAATTATATTTTTACCGTTCGATAGTAGTTGTATATGAAACTAAGTTCTAAGTAAAACGCATGGTATAATGGAATTATTCTCTTTCTTCCATCTGTTGTAAACCATACTTGAAAGTCTGAAATACTTCCACTTGGTGGTTCATATAGCTTTGTAGGTTTTTCGTAAAAGTCATTTGCCAAGCATAAAAAGAGTTTTGTGCACCAGAAAATGAAGCATGAACTATAATAGCATCTGAGTCGAAAACATTTTCATATGTTCCATTAGGGTTTTCGACTTCATAAAAGTCCGGGTGTACTGGATATTCTGCAGGCTGATTTAACATCCTCATAAATCTATACCATGCCAAGTTGTTATATTTTGTAGAAATATAAACGTTTTCTCCAAGGTCTTCTATTCTATTGATTTTAACAGTTGCATTTTTCCTGTCATAAATAATATCGAGATGGTACTCTCCCTCGTCAATGTTATACTGGTTTGCATATTCGATATAGATGTCGTTTATTTTTTCTTGAAAAGCTTGAAGAGTTGTTTCTAAGTTTACAAGCAAACTAACTTGTAAAAGTTTTCCCTGTTCAAATTTCTCATACATACGTTTTTCTTTGTTATAGTATCGAACTTCAAAACCGACCGTAAATGGGAAACCATGTATGGCTTCTGAAATGAACTTCATTCTACGAAAGCCAATAGCTTTTGTGACGGATGGGTCTCTTAACCATCTTAACGGGTAGTCAAAACGATAGCCTTCATGCTTTACGGTCTCTGTCTCAAACTTTTGACCGACATTCGTAAAAAGTTCATCTAATGGTTTAGTTGTAGCAACTCTTGAATTTTCTTTTTCTATTGAAAGCATATTTTATCTAGAATAAAAATGTCAAATGAAACAGCGTCTATGAGAGAAATACAACACAACCGACAACTCATTATACAAGCTCTAAATAAGAACACAACAAACTTTTCAAACTATTCTAAGATATCTGAGTCATTGAAAGAAGGAAATTTAAAACTGACATTAAACCCAATGACAGATGAGTTTCTATTTCAAGACAATAAGAACCATACTGTCTGTATAAATCCAACAAAAGGAACTTTAAACGAGAAACCTATAAATGAACTTCTTTTGAAAGCAGATGTTGACAACAAAGCAGACAAAACATATGTAGACGATGCAATAGCAAAAGAAGAAGAAAGAGCTGACAAAGCTTATGCAACAAAAGAACATACTCATCCTGAACTAGCAGACAAAACATATGTTGACAATAAAATGTCAAGTGAAGTGACAAGAGCTGAAAACGAATATTCTAAAAAGACTCATATACATACCATTGCAAATATTACAAACTTACAAGAAACCTTAAACAGTAAAAGTGCCGTTGGACATACACATACCATTGCAAATATTACAAACTTACAAGAAACCTTAAACAGGAAAAGTGCCGTTGGACATACACATACCATTGCAAATATTACAAACTTACAAGAAACCTTAAACAGGAAAAGTGCCGTTGGACATACACATACATCTTCTGAAATAACAGACTTAAACGTTAGCCTTGAAAAGAAAGCAGATAAGAACCATACACATACAAGTTTTACAACTGTTGCTATAGAAAGTATTGAAGGAACGGTTGAAGAAACTGGTGGGGATGCATTATATTGGAAACCTCCTAACTTTCCACAAGGTTTAACATCGGATGACGACATAACGACGATGAGAAACATTAGATGTAAAGATGTTTATGTCATGAAGGATGAATATAATATTAAATTCACTGCTCAAGATTTATATGACAAGAAAGCAGACAAAACAGAGCTTCAAACATTAAAGACAGAAATACTTCAAACATTATATCCTATAGGCTCTATTTATACGTCAATGAACTCTACCAGACCAGAAGTAGTACTTGGTTTTGGAACTTGGACTCAAATAGTCGACAGGTTTTTGTATTGTGCAAACTCTTCAAAGGAAACAGGTGGAAGTAAAACGATTTCAGGTGAAAATTTACCTGCACACAGTCACTACATAGATTTAAGTACATCTCAAGCAGGTTGGCATAAGCATAGATATTGGGATTGGTCAGCAATGACAAAAGGTAAAGGATATGATGTTAAAGACAACGTTAAGTTTGCTATAAAATTGTTTCTGGAGTAACACTGAGGGAGGAGGAAACCATACACATCGCGTTTCAGGATATACGCAAACAACGGGACAAAGTAAAGACTACATGCCACCTTACATGACAGTTTACGCATGGTATAGAATTGCTTAGTCGTCATTTTCAACTTCTTTAGCATATTCGTCAGGAGTTGTCTTATATTTGTTAGGAACTGTCTTTGAAAGTATACCACCTTGAACTTTGACAAGTTTGAAACGAGGTCTGACAATAGTAGTTTTATCTTCTGCTTGCAGTGTGTACATTTTGCCATGTTTGCCTAAAACTTCATAATATTCTCTTGTATACTTTCTTCTATTTTTACGAACACGAATGTGAGTACCTGTCGGGTTCCCATTGTTGTCATAGTCAATAGTATTTTCATATGGGTCGCGTTTAGGTATTTCTATTTTTACTTTGTCACCTTTCTGAAGTTTGAAGCCCGGCATTCTTTCTTGTTTGTCTCTTTTGACTAAATTATTAAATATATAGTCTTTCTCTAAGTCAGGGTTGTTTTTCATTTCTTCGGGGAATGGTTTCCCAAACCTTTTTGTTTACGGCTATTGTAAATATTTAAAACTTGTCTCATCTTTGCCTGGGAGAAGTGTCTATATTTGTCGTCATATGACATTTCATTTGCTTCACCACCTTGTGGTTGGTTTAAGTCTCTTAACATTTTTATACAACCGTCAATGACACCAAGAGCAGAATGGTTTTGGTCGACAATGAAATATTGGTTTACATTTTTTGAACGCAGATAGTTTTTTTACATCATCTGATTTGAAAGAACTTTCACAGTCAGATGTCAGTTTTGTTGGATGGTATTTGTCAACGAATATTGTCAAAGCTGCTAAGATATCTAAAATAGCTTTGGACTGTAATGGTATGGCTTCACAGTATCTTGTATTTTGACCAACAAATATTAACCAGTATGGTGGTCCATCTTCTCTATACCTCGGAATGTTTTCCAAGATATCCATAAACCAAGCATTTGGTGTTGAACTAAAGATTTTTATCATGAGTGCTTTCTTTGTCGCTTTAGAAACATAGGGGTCCTTGTTCGGATTCGTCATTTTTTACCCTATAAGAAATGGGTTTATTTGGCGCATTAGCAGGAGTTGCATCCGTCTGGTATCCGACATAGAAAATTCCATTGCAACCTTTCTTGTCAGACAACTTGGCAGAAGGTTTTATTTCAATGTCTTGTTCCACGTATAAGAATGAGTTGTCAATATAAATAATATGAAACCTGTCGCAAGCAATATCTACTGTTGTTGAAGAACCTTCTCCAAACTCACCTACGTTTCCATAAGAAACAGCAGTTGTATATTCGTAAGTTCCAGGAACTATTTCTGACCTTCTAATGGCATTGTCGCATTCGTTATACCATTCGGAAACATTTCCGTTCATGGCATCCAAAACTGTTGGCGTTATATTCTGAGCGGCATACATTTCATATGGGTAAAAATATAGAATAGTTGGATTTATATGTCATAATAGAACCCACTCGGACCAAGCTTTACTTTCTTCCTGACTGAGTTTTTAACTGAGTTTTTAACTCTTCTTTTTCCTTCATTGCACTACTTTCACTAGATGAAGTTACTTCTTCACTACTTTCACTTTGTTCTACTCTTCTCTTCTTCTTTGGTGTCGCTTTTGGTAACTTGCCCTCTGCTTCAAGTTGTTGCATCTTTGCCTCATGTTCACCTAGTATGTTGTAAATTTCCCATGTCCTTTTTGCCTTTGGGCTCTGGTCGCCCATCTCAGGTAACCTATATCCTAGAAAGATTTTGTCATAGTTTGTATTTGAGTCGTCGCTTATTGTTTGCATGACTCTTTCCTGAGTTTCCGGTTCAAGCTCTTCAAACAGAGCTTGTCCATATGGAATAAGCTCGTTTCCAAATATATGTTTTTGTAGCCATTCTGGTTTTCTTTCCATGTAACCAATAATATCTTTTGTGAATGGGAAAGCTTTTACCCAACGTTTCAGTCTTGCGTCATTTATTTCTGTAGTTGGTTTTATTTTGTCAAGGAACATGTTTTTCAATACTAACATTTCATTTGGTACTGTCCATTTGAGTTTTCTTAAATATTCATCCCTTCTCATTTCATTGTCTGCAAAGTAAGTTTTTATGGCATTTTGCAAACTTTCGTTTGCAAGGTCATGTACAATAGGTTCTCTTCCGTCTCTCTCCCTAACTTTCTTTCTAAACTCTTCACCAAATATACCATCTCTATGGTTCTGTGTAGTTCTTTGAGATAAATGTTCTAGAACGTCAGGTGTTATATTTCCCTCAGCCATGTTCATTTCATACTGGTCCAAAATATCTGCATCTTTCATATCTTTCAATGGCATTAAAGCCGCGCTGAAAATACCCGTTATATCTGGTTCACCATTCACTTCCATTGCGTCTACAACTTCTTGGAATTGAGGTTGTAAGTTTATGAACCACCTATCCGGATTAGCTTTATGACCCCACTTCATTGTAGTTCCATAGTCTGCAGAAACAAAAGTAGGTTTGTTTCCATATTGGTTAGGTTCTGAATGAACTTTAAACAATGTTTCATTTCTATATGTTTTGTTGAAATTTAACCTTTTATTTTCACCGAGTTCAGCCAAAGATTGAACGTTATATGGTCGTAAGTAAAAAGGATTATTGTATTTGCGTACATTTTCTTTCAGTACTTCCACTCTATGCTGAATATTTTCATCTGATGTTGGAGTCTTTTGTATGTCGGTGAACATTTTTCGATATCCTTCTACTATGTCAGCCGAATTTTTCTTAGACTCTTGGAAAGATTCCATATTCTCCTCATACTCTTGTTGAGGGTCAAGATTTTTCGGCTGTTCCAAATCTTCATCTAGTTCTGTGAAGTTAGTTTCCAAAGGAGGGACTTGTTCGTTTCCTTCAGGCTCTTCTAGCTGTTGTTGCTGAACTATTTCTTCCATGTCTGGTTGTATCTGAACTTCTTCCTGTTGAGTTTCTTGTACCTCATCTGCTGGCATTTCATATATTCCGAGACCGTTTTTAACAAGTTCCCTATCTAAGTCATCCGGACTCATAAACCTTTCTTCTTTCGTTCCGTCTCTATTTTTTACACGTTTCATGAAGAGAGTTGAATTATCATTTAGCTCTGACATCAAATATCTCGGAGTAAATTCATCCATGTCATTTGGATGATATGCTATTAAATCATATCCCTTAGCGAGCTTGTATTTTCCAGGTTTGAGATTATATCCGATTTGATGCTGAACCATAAAGCTAAATAGGTTCGGGTCAGTATTTCCTTCCTTGAACTTTCTAATAGCTTCTTTATATCTGTCACTAAAGTCAAGAGTATCTGGGTAACCATAATCTTCCTTAAGCATTTTTAAGAATTCTTGGTTTCCTTTTTCTCTACTTCTTTTATGTCCTTGCTCTGTTTGTGGTTGTTGTTGTGCAGGGTTTTGAACTGTTGGTTGCTGTGCTGGTTGTGCTGGTTTTGGTTGTTGTGCTGGATTTTGAACTGTTGGTTGCTGTGCAGGGTTTTGAACTGTTGGTTTTGGTTGTTGTTGTGGTGCTGGATTTTGAACTGTTGGTTGTTGTGTTGGTTTTGTTGCATGCCTGTGTCTGTGTCCATGTGACGATGTAAATGTTTTAGGTAGTCCTGGTGCAGGTGCTTCTCTTGGAGGGTTTGGTGGTATATAAGTTCCACCAGCTGGCACATATGTTCCATCTGCAGCATAGTGTCCTACCTGACTTTTCGTTCTTAAGAAAGCATTTACTAGGTCTGTTTTGATCTGTTGTAACTCTTTTTCTTGACTTTCCACAACAGTTGCTCTAACGGCGTCATAGGCACTTTGAACTGCCTGTCTCGTTGCTGCATCTGTTATTTTCGTCATATTTTGTGCTACTTCTCTTAACTCTTTGTCGAAACCTTCAGACTTCAGTTTCTTTCCAGATGAGAAGTCGTTCACTAGTTTCACCTTACTATGAAGAGCTTCGAAGGCATTCTTAAAGTCAGCATTCATTAAAGCTTCATTTGAACTGTCTTCATCCGCTTGTATTTTTGTCCTTATTGACCCTATAAGTTGGGCTGCTTTAGCGTTGGCTTGGGCATCTAACCAGTCATTATTAGCTTTTATATATTCTGCGCTGTTCATTGCCTTTTGCATGGCTGCGTCGTTATTTTTACTTTCTTGTGCTAAGTTTTCATACTGTACGGTTTGGTTTTGCAACTGTAAAAGTTTTTCTGCCTTTACATTTGCTTCAACTTCTTTTTTATACTCATCGCTATCCATATATGTCTTCAGGGCTTTTTGTTTTATTTCTTCATCTTTCAGTACTTTATATTGAGTAGTATGGTTTTTCAAATTTATAACATCTTGTTCCATTTTTGCTACTTCTGCTGCTTTTTCTGACACTTTTTTCGCATATTCCTCTGTACTTAGTTCTTTCAGTTGTTCTTCTTTCTTCTTTTTCTCTACGTTTAACTCATTGAGTTTCTTTGTGTGTCTGTCATATTCTAGTTTCTTTTCGTTTTCACTTATTTGTTTCTGTATGTCTATGTTTGACTTTTTGACATCTGTTATTTGATTTTTGAGTGAACTCAAATTCATTTGACTTTGAGGGTTATAAGCTGTTCCGTCTGCAGCTCCACCATAGCCTGCCATTTTCGCTAAAAGTGCCGCTCTTAAACCTCCACTCTGTGCACCAATAACTCGGTTTAAAAGCATAGGGTTGCTTGACATTTGTTGCAACATAGTGGGGTCATTCATCATTTGTTGTTGCAACTGTTGTTGTGGTGTCAGTTTTACTATTGGATGTTTCAATGCTCCCTTCCTCTTACGTATATTCTTACGTAGCTTACGTGGCATTTTAAGTGAAGTTAAAAAGCGGTTTTTGACAGATGTTTATATGACACTTTTTGTTCAGCACAAAAAACTACTCGGTCAAAGTGTTGTCAGTTTTGTAAAATAACCGTCCTATCTCATTCTATAAGGGGAAAAAGGCTTCTCAAAGTATACTTCCTTGGAACGCCCGTAACTTTTCCTGTAGCGACGATAGACCCTTACTTGTCCGGACAAAGTTATACTATTTTGAGTGCTCTACAAAAAAGTCAACGGCGACGACTCTCAAAAACCGTTGTGTAAAAAGTTTTACCGTTGGACAAAAAAGTATATATAGAAAACAAAAAACGTTTATACTTCATTCAATATTTGAAATAAACCGTTTTTCCAATGGTAACTATTAAATAAAATAAAAAATAGAGGGGGTTACCGTTGACGAAAACGGTTTATCTCAAATATTTAAATATCTGTCTTTTTTGGTCAGTTCATTTTTATCTAATGGAAGCCAACGCTGTTAACCACAATTCAAACATTAACAATTCTCAACCGCTAACCAAAGCCAAAGCCCCACAACCTCCAAGAACTGGCACAGCGGTTAGAATAACCACCAAAAAGTCTAACAGCGAATTAAGAGAAATTCTTCAACAAATTTGCTCTAAATATCTCAAAGACGCCGAAGAAAACACACAACCAGACGCTACATACAATACTCAGTTCTGTGAAGTTCTGAACAAAGCAATTACTAGTTCAATTGAACTTACTAAGACAATTCCAAGTCCAATTGAGCTTAGCGATGTCTTAGTTCAGTATTTTCCAACATTTACTAAGCTTATAATGTTGAGAACTTTATACCAAGTTCGTCAAAATCTTCCTCGTTACATCCAACGGTCATTCGACAAGAGAATTGCCGAATTCCAAGTCTTTAGTTACGGATATGACGAAGATGAATACGTTGACGAGTTCGGAGACAACCGTACAAAATGGTTTGAATGTTATACGACAACACAATTTGAATTGGACTTTCTCGAATTCAACGCAGCAACCATTCATATCATTGCTCTTTACCTTTCCGAACAACAACAAGACCTCGCAGATGGAGATGTTGTTACTGTCGTCATGAAAACTCCTGAACAATTCGGAAAAAAGAAGTCTCTAATTGCCAAATTCGTTCCAGGACATCAGCTTTTCCAACGCACAGAAGTCTTGTGTATTCCTGGAACTAAGTTCTTTGTCAGGAGCGAACTCAAAGAAAGATATAATGTGTCATTCAATTACACATTATATAATGTTTTCGACCCAGAAGAAGGCTTCTTCCCAGAAGCAATGGAGGAGGAAGAAGAGGAGGAGGAAATACAAGACTCTATCCAAGAAGAGTCCTCCGAATTCACACCAGAAGACTAACAATTTTCCGAATAAAAACTTCATTTATACTAAACATCTTCGGGGCTAGAGGGCGCAACGCGCCTGGAAGCCCCACTACCTTTTTTTTAAATACACTATAAGTTTAAGCTTTAGCTGTAAAATAAACAGTAATATTAAATAAACATTATATTATATAGTCGGAGCGATTCTATATATGTACTCTTATGCCAACTAGTTACAACCTAGTAAAATACATGGAAATATTGTAATATCCTAGCATTGCTATCGAGAAATCAAAAAATATAAGCAAAAGTCATCTTATATTTAAAGATTTTTCAAGAGCTTTGTTTGGAAATTAGTTCATTGGAAGAAGTATATAGATATGAAAACCCAAAGTATTAAGTTCGATAATATATAGTTTTTTTTTATTTTAAAATTGAATGCATACAACATTGCTCCTCTGGAGTGAATTAATTAGTTCCAACTTTTTCAAGATTCTACAGTGTAATATGCTCCTTGGAATGTCTCTTGCATGAATGTTTTTGTTTACCATCTAAAGAATTAAGATTTGAGATACAATAATCTTTGGAAAAGTAGAGGATACAACAATAAAGTATGTTCTTTCGATACATGATATCATTTTGTTACAAAAATATTCTTACTTACTCATGATTCAAAAAAAAGGTTGCAGACATACTAAAATGTTATTTATGTGGCTTGTATTTACTAGCATATGTAATTTGGTGCTAACGTATACCATCAATTTCATTATAACACAGACATATATATTACTATTAGAATTTTATTTTAATTCAATGATAAAATCAAACATTCCTTTTTGAAAATCGTTCTATCTTGTTATTATCTTTGAATGCTGCATCAAGAACTAACAATTTACAATTTTTATTCAAATTATAATATAAAATTATAGCATATTGGTTTTCAAAGTATGTTTGCTAAAAGTAATTGCGCTTATCGTTTACCCCCGCATTAACACATATAAATTTGTATTAAAAAATGATATCAAATCAAAAATATGGCTTCCTTGCTAAGAAAAGCGTCAAATTTATTATGTTTCTCCTTAGCCGAAAGTGTATAAATTGGCAGTTAGATTTATAGTATCCTAACTGTTTTTTGTAAAGTTCGTCATATCTTTAATGGTACTATTTCAGCGTGTACAATGAATACAAAAATTCTAAGAGTGCCACATAAAATAGTACTTTAGACTTGAGTTAATGCTACCAAGCAAATGTTAAAAAGATGACTTTAGTGTTTTGATAATCAAAGATTAAAATCATTATTGTCTAAATCAATAATCATAACGACAGAAGTTAATGTTTTTTCATCAGTGCTTTAAATCCACTTTTAAAAGTATACCTCAAAAATCAAAATATCAAAAAAAATCTAGTTTTTATGAATCTAAAGCTTTCTATAGTTCACATGCAAAAACCTTTAGTTTTATACTTTTTTATGGTTTTCATGAGACAAAAAGTTATGATTTAATAATTATTTTTAATTTTCCGCTGTTATCAACATAGATGACAACTTCATACACTTAGTTATCTAATATCTTGACTATTACACTCCTTAACAAAAAAAAGGTAGTGGGGCTTCCAGGCGCGTTGCGCCCTCTAGCCCTGAAGATGTTTAGTATAAATGAAGTTTTTATTCGGAAAATTGTTAGTCTTCTGGGTCGAAAACATTATATAATATGTCACTTTTCACAAATTATATATGTTTTCATGTTTTGTCACTTTTCTGTCACTTTTCGGGTAAAAACATTATTATTATTATATATAAATGAATTTTACAAAACCACCGTTACCCTTCTTTGGAAATAAGAGTAGATGTAAAGATATTATATTGAGAGAACTTAAGAAACTACCGAATGGTCTAACATTTGTAGATTTGTTCGGTGGAAGTTTCTATATATCCCATTTATGTCATACAATATTCCCAGACTCAAAGATTATATGCAATGACTTCGACAACTATATGGACCGTCTCAAACATATTCCAGACACAAACAATATATTGAAAGAGTTAAAAGAAAAGATACCTATAGGTAAGATGGAAAGTATACCATTAGATAAGAAAAATATTGTGAGAGAGGTTTTGAAAAAAGCAGAATATATAGATTGGGATAGTATATCTGCTAGACTATTATATAGTGGTGCTATAAGAGTTCATGACATTGAAACACTTATGTCAAAAGTTTTATATCTTAACTATACAAATGTTTTCAAAGAGGACATAGAAAAATATATTGAGGGTATAGAGTTTGTGAGATGTCATTGGACAGAGTTGTATGAAAAATATAAAGACAAGGAAAATGTTTTCTTTATAGTGGACCCGCCGTTCTATAACACATGGGATTTTCAATACCAAGTAGACTGGACTTTGAGAGACTCTTTAGAAACTTTAGACGTTATACATAACCATCCATGCTTTTACTTTACATCCGATAAAAGTGGTTTGGAAACCGTTATGAGATGGTTAGAGGACATACATGACTATGAGTTTATATATGACAAGATAGAATATGAGAGAGGTCCTATAAACTGGAGAAAGTGTCATAACAAAGAAATTTTACTAGTAAGTAAATGTGGTTTGAAATAGGATTACTTGTTTTAAGTTTTTTCCATTGTGACATTTATTTATTTGACGTGGCAGAAAAGTACAGAGAATATAAAGATGAACCAATGCCTGCAAATGTTCAGCATATGTACTCGTAAGAGATATTTTTATCTAATATTAAATGGACGCACAGAACTTAGCGAATGCACAGCAACCTGGACAACCAAACCCAGAGAATATTCCAAATGAAGTTAGAATACAAACTGCAATGGCAAACTATGGTCAAGTGCCAACAGATGTACAAATGCAAACTGCCATGTCAAATGACGCTGTGTTAGGTTTGCCACCATGGTATGCAAATATGAGATGGAAAGAGTTTTATACAAACCCTGAAGTGGGATATAAACAACTTTATGCAGATGACGCGAACACAGGAGTTGACCCAGAATATGTTTTCTACCAGAGGAGAAACAGAATGTATGAGCTCCAGTTAAAGAATGCTATGGAACTCAACAGGAAACGTAAGAGACTAGGTGGACATTAGATTTTTACATATAGTAAAATGGGTTTCTTCAGTAGTATTGGAAACTTCTTCAGAAGAGTTGGAAGAGGTATATGGAATGGAATAAAAACCGTAGGAAGAGGAATTTGGAACGGAGTCAAAAATATTGGTAAAAGAGTAGGTCAGTTTGTTGGTATTATACCTAAAGACCCTGAACCAGAAGAACAAGCTCCTGTTATACAACAGCCTGAACCTGCACCACAGTCTAGTTGGCAACCAAATCCAACACCTCAACCGTATTAAAAAATTATATTTTTACCGTTCGATAGTAGTTGTATATGAAACTAAGTTCTAAGTAAAACGCATGGTATAATGGAATTATTCTCTTTCTTCCATCTGTTGTAAACCATACTTGAAAGTCTGAAATACTTCCACTTGGTGGTTCATATAGCTTTGTAGGTTTTTCGTAAAAGTCATTTGCCAAGCATAAAAAAGAGTTTTGTGCACCAGAAAATGAAGCATGAACTATAATAGCATCTGAGTCGAAAACATTTTCATATGTTCCATTAGGGTTTTCGACTTCATAAAAGTCCGGGTGTACTGGATATTCTGCAGGCTGATTTAACATCCTCATAAATCTATACCATGCCAAGTTGTTATATTTTGTAGAAATATAAACGTTTTCTCCAAGGTCTTCTATTCTATTGATTTTAACAGTTGCATTTTTCCTGTCATAAATAATATCGAGATGGTACTCTCCCTCGTCAATGTTATACTGGTTTGCATATTCGATATAGATGTCGTTTATTTTTTCTTGAAAAGCTTGAAGAGTTGTTTCTAAGTTTACAAGCAAACTAACTTGTAAAAGTTTTCCCTGTTCAAATTTCTCATACATACGTTTTTCTTTGTTATAGTATCGAACTTCAAAACCGACCGTAAATGGGAAACCATGTATGGCTTCTGAAATGAACTTCATTCTACGAAAGCCAATAGCTTTTGTGACGGATGGGTCTCTTAACCATCTTACGGGTAGTCAAAACGATAGCCTTCATGCTTTACGGTCTCTGTCTCAAACTTTTGACCGACATTCGTAAAAAGTTCATCTAATGGTTTAGTTGTAGCAACTCTTGAATTTTCTTTTTCTATTGAAAGCATATTTTATCTAGAATAAAAATGTCAAATGAAACAGCGTCTATGAGAGAAATACAACACAACCGACAACTCATTATACAAGCTCTAAATAAGAACACAACAAACTTTTCAAACTATTCTAAGATATCTGAGTCATTGAAAGAAGGAAATTTAAAACTGACATTAAACCCAATGACAGATGAGTTTCTATTTCAAGACAATAAGAACCATACTGTCTGTATAAATCCAACAAAAGGAACTTTAAACGAGAAACCTATAAATGAACTTCTTTTGAAAGCAGATGTTGACAACAAAGCAGACAAAACATATGTAGACGATGCAATAGCAAAAGAAGAAGAAAGAGCTGACAAAGCTTATGCAACAAAAGAACATACTCATCCTGAACTAGCAGACAAAACATATGTTGACAATAAAATGTCAAGTGAAGTGACAAGAGCTGAAAACGAATATTCTAAAAAGACTCATATACATACCATTGCAAATATTACAAACTTACAAGAAACCTTAAACAGTAAAAGTGCCGTTGGACATACACATACCATTGCAAATATTACAAACTTACAAGAAACCTTAAACAGGAAAAGTGCCGTTGGACATACACATACCATTGCAAATATTACAAACTTACAAGAAACCTTAAACAGGAAAAGTGCCGTTGGACATACACATACATCTTCTGAAATAACAGACTTAAACGTTAGCCTTGAAAAGAAAGCAGATAAGAACCATACACATACAAGTTTTACAACTGTTGCTATAGAAAGTATTGAAGGAACGGTTGAAGAAACTGGTGGGGATGCATTATATTGTAAACCTCCTAACTTTCCACAAGGTTTAACATCGGATGACGACATAACGACGATGAGAAACATTAGATGTAAAGATGTTTATGTCATGAAGGATGAATATAATATTAAATTCACTGCTCAAGATTTATATGACAAGAAAGCAGACAAAACAGAGCTTCAAACATTAAAGACAGAAATACTTCAAACATTATATCCTATAGGCTCTATTTATACGTCAATGAACTCTACCAGACCAGAAGTAGTACTTGGTTTTGGAACTTGGACTCAAATAGTCGACAGGTTTTTGTATTGTGCAAACTCTTCAAAGGAAACAGGTGGAAGTAAAACGATTTCAGGTGAAAATTTACCTGCACACAGTCACTACATAGATTTAAGTACATCTCAAGCAGGTTGGCATAAGCATAGATATTGGGATTGGTCAGCAATGACAAAAGGTAAAGGATATGATGTTAAAGACAACGTTAAGTTTGCTATAAATTGTTTCTGGAGTAACACTGAGGGAGGAGGAAACCATACACATCGCGTTTCAGGATATACGCAAACAACGGGACAAAGTAAAGACTACATGCCACCTTACATGACAGTTTACGCATGGTATAGAATTGCTTAGTCGTCATTTTCAACTTCTTTAGCATATTCGTCAGGAGTTGTCTTATATTTGTTAGGAACTGTCTTTGAAAGTATACCACCTTGAACTTTGACAAGTTTGAAACGAGGTCTGACAATAGTAGTTTTATCTTCTGCTTGCAGTGTGTACATTTTGCCATGTTTGCCTAAAACTTCATAATATTCTCTTGTATACTTTCTTCTATTTTTACGAACACGAATGTGAGTACCTGTCGGGTTCCCATTGTTGTCATAGTCAATAGTATTTTCATATGGGTCGCGTTTAGGTATTTCTATTTTTACTTTGTCACCTTTCTGAAGTTTGAAGCCCGGCATTCTTTCTTGTTTGTCTCTTTTGACTAAATTATTAAATATATAGTCTTTCTCTAAGTCAGGGTTGTTTTTCATTTCTTCGGGGGAATGGTTTCCCAAACCTTTTTGTTTACGGCTATTGTAAATATTTAAAACTTGTCTCATCTTTGCCTGGGAGAAGTGTCTATATTTGTCGTCATATGACATTTCATTTGCTTCACCACCTTGTGGTTGGTTTAAGTCTCTTAACATTTTTATACAACCGTCAATGACACCAAGAGCAGAATGGTTTTGGTCGACAATGAAATATTGGTTTACATTTTTTGAACGCAGATAGTTTTTTACATCATCTGATTTGAAAGAACTTTCACAGTCAGATGTCAGTTTTGTTGGATGGTATTTGTCAACGAATATTGTCAAAGCTGCTAAGATATCTAAAATAGCTTTGGACTGTAATGGTATGGCTTCACAGTATCTTGTATTTTGACCAACAAATATTAACCAGTATGGTGGTCCATCTTCTCTATACCTCGGAATGTTTTCCAAGATATCCATAAACCAAGCATTTGGTGTTGAACTAAAGATTTTTATCATGAGTGCTTTCTTTGTCGCTTTAGAAACATAGGGGTCCTTGTTCGGATTCGTCATTTTTTACCCTATAAGAAATGGGTTTATTTGGCGCATTAGCAGGAGTTGCATCCGTCTGGTATCCGACATAGAAAATTCCATTGCAACCTTTCTTGTCAGACAACTTGGCAGAAGGTTTTATTTCAATGTCTTGTTCCACGTATAAGAATGAGTTGTCAATATAAATAATATGAAACCTGTCGCAAGCAATATCTACTGTTGTTGAAGAACCTTCTCCAAACTCACCTACGTTTCCATAAGAAACAGCAGTTGTATATTCGTAAGTTCCAGGAACTATTTCTGACCTTCTAATGGCATTGTCGCATTCGTTATACCATTCGGAAACATTTCCGTTCATGGCATCCAAAACTGTTGGCGTTATATTCTGAGCGGCATACATTTCATATGGGTAAAAATATAGAATAGTTGGATTTATATGTCATAATAGAACCCACTCGGACCAAGCTTTACTTTCTTCCTGACTGAGTTTTTAACTGAGTTTTTAACTCTTCTTTTTCCTTCATTGCCACTACTTTCACTAGATGAAGTTACTTCTTCACTACTTTCACTTTGTTCTACTCTTCTCTTCTTCTTTGGTGTCGCTTTTGGTAACTTGCCCTCTGCTTCAAGTTGTTGCATCTTTGCCTCATGTTCACCTAGTATGTTGTAAATTTCCCATGTCCTTTTTGCCTTTGGGCTCTGGTCGCCCATCTCAGGTAACCTATATCCTAGAAAGATTTTGTCATAGTTTGTATTTGAGTCGTCGCTTATTGTTTGCATGACTCTTTCCTGAGTTTCCGGTTCAAGCTCTTCAAACAGAGCTTGTCCATATGGAATAAGCTCGTTTCCAAATATATGTTTTTGTAGCCATTCTGGTTTTCTTTCCATGTAACCAATAATATCTTTTGTGAATGGGAAAGCTTTTACCCAACGTTTCAGTCTTGCGTCATTTATTTCTGTAGTTGGTTTTATTTTGTCAAGGAACATGTTTTTCAATACTAACATTTCATTTGGTACTGTCCATTTGAGTTTTCTTAAATATTCATCCCTTCTCATTTCATTGTCTGCAAAGTAAGTTTTTATGGCATTTTGCAAACTTTCGTTTGCAAGGTCATGTACAATAGGTTCTCTTCCGTCTCTCTCCCTAACTTTCTTTCTAAACTCTTCACCAAATATACCATCTCTATGGTTCTGTGTAGTTCTTTGAGATAAATGTTCTAGAACGTCAGGTGTTATATTTCCCTCAGCCATGTTCATTTCATACTGGTCCAAAATATCTGCATCTTTCATATCTTTCAATGGCATTAAAGCCGCGCTGAAAATACCCGTTATATCTGGTTCACCATTCACTTCCATTGCGTCTACAACTTCTTGGAATTGAGGTTGTAAGTTTATGAACCACCTATCCGGATTAGCTTTATGACCCCACTTCATTGTAGTTCCATAGTCTGCAGAAACAAAAGTAGGTTTGTTTCCATATTGGTTAGGTTCTGAATGAACTTTAAACAATGTTTCATTTCTATATGTTTTGTTGAAATTTAACCTTTTATTTTCACCGAGTTCAGCCAAAGATTGAACGTTATATGGTCGTAAGTAAAAAGGATTATTGTATTTGCGTACATTTTCTTTCAGTACTTCCACTCTATGCTGAATATTTTCATCTGATGTTGGAGTCTTTTGTATGTCGGTGAACATTTTTCGATATCCTTCTACTATGTCAGCCGAATTTTTCTTAGACTCTTGGAAAGATTCCATATTCTCCTCATACTCTTGTTGAGGGTCAAGATTTTTCGGCTGTTCCAAATCTTCATCTAGTTCTGTGAAGTTAGTTTCCAAAGGAGGGACTTGTTCGTTTCCTTCAGGCTCTTCTAGCTGTTGTTGCTGAACTATTTCTTCCATGTCTGGTTGTATCTGAACTTCTTCCTGTTGAGTTTCTTGTACCTCATCTGCTGGCATTTCATATATTCCGAGACCGTTTTTAACAAGTTCCCTATCTAAGTCATCCGGACTCATAAACCTTTCTTCTTTCGTTCCGTCTCTATTTTTTACACGTTTCATGAAGAGAGTTGAATTATCATTTAGCTCTGACATCAAATATCTCGGAGTAAATTCATCCATGTCATTTGGATGATATGCTATTAAATCATATCCCTTAGCGAGCTTGTATTTTCCAGGTTTGAGATTATATCCGATTTGATGCTGAACCATAAAGCTAAATAGGTTCGGGTCAGTATTTCCTTCCTTGAACTTTCTAATAGCTTCTTTATATCTGTCACTAAAGTCAAGAGTATCTGGGTAACCATAATCTTCCTTAAGCATTTTTAAGAATTCTTGGTTTCCTTTTTCTCTACTTCTTTTATGTCCTTGCTCTGTTTGTGGTTGTTGTTGTGCAGGGTTTTGAACTGTTGGTTGCTGTGCTGGTTGTGCTGGTTTTGGTTGTTGTGCTGGATTTTGAACTGTTGGTTGCTGTGCAGGGTTTTGAACTGTTGGTTTTGGTTGTTGTTGTGGTGCTGGATTTTGAACTGTTGGTTGTTGTGTTGGTTTTGTTGCATGCCTGTGTCTGTGTCCATGTGACGATGTAAATGTTTTAGGTAGTCCTGGTGCAGGTGCTTCTCTTGGAGGGTTTGGTGGTATATAAGTTCCACCAGCTGGCACATATGTTCCATCTGCAGCATAGTGTCCTACCTGACTTTTCGTTCTTAAGAAAGCATTTACTAGGTCTGTTTTGATCTGTTGTAACTCTTTTTCTTGACTTTCCACAACAGTTGCTCTAACGGCGTCATAGGCACTTTGAACTGCCTGTCTCGTTGCTGCATCTGTTATTTTCGTCATATTTTGTGCTACTTCTCTTAACTCTTTGTCGAAACCTTCAGACTTCAGTTTCTTTCCAGATGAGAAGTCGTTCACTAGTTTCACCTTACTATGAAGAGCTTCGAAGGCATTCTTAAAGTCAGCATTCATTAAAGCTTCATTTGAACTGTCTTCATCCGCTTGTATTTTTGTCCTTATTGACCCTATAAGTTGGGCTGCTTTAGCGTTGGCTTGGGCATCTAACCAGTCATTATTAGCTTTTATATATTCTGCGCTGTTCATTGCCTTTTGCATGGCTGCGTCGTTATTTTTACTTTCTTGTGCTAAGTTTTCATACTGTACGGTTTGGTTTTGCAACTGTAAAAGTTTTTCTGCCTTTACATTTGCTTCAACTTCTTTTTTATACTCATCGCTATCCATATATGTCTTCAGGGCTTTTTGTTTTATTTCTTCATCTTTCAGTACTTTATATTGAGTAGTATGGTTTTTCAAATTTATAACATCTTGTTCCATTTTTGCTACTTCTGCTGCTTTTTCTGACACTTTTTTCGCATATTCCTCTGTACTTAGTTCTTTCAGTTGTTCTTCTTTCTTCTTTTTCTCTACGTTTAACTCATTGAGTTTCTTTGTGTGTCTGTCATATTCTAGTTTCTTTTCGTTTTCACTTATTTGTTTCTGTATGTCTATGTTTGACTTTTTGACATCTGTTATTTGATTTTTGAGTGAACTCAAATTCATTTGACTTTGAGGGTTATAAGCTGTTCCGTCTGCAGCTCCACCATAGCCTGCCATTTTCGCTAAAAGTGCCGCTCTTAAACCTCCACTCTGTGCACCAATAACTCGGTTTAAAAGCATAGGGTTGCTTGACATTTGTTGCAACATAGTGGGGTCATTCATCATTTGTTGTTGCAACTGTTGTTGTGGTGTCAGTTTTACTATTGGATGTTTCAATGCTCCCTTCCTCTTACGTATATTCTTACGTAGCTTACGTGGCATTTTAAGTGAAGTTAAAAAGCGGTTTTTGACAGATGTTTATATGACACTTTTTGTTCAGCACAAAAAACTACTCGGTCAAAGTGTTGTCAGTTTTGTAAAATAACCGTCCTATCTCATTCTATAAGGGGAAAAAGGCTTCTCAAAGTATACTTCCTTGGAACGCCCGTAACTTTTCCTGTAGCGACGATAGACCCTTACTTGTCCGGACAAAGTTATACTATTTTGAGTGCTCTACAAAAAAGTCAACGGCGACGACTCTCAAAAACCGTTGTGTAAAAAGTTTTACCGTTGGACAAAAAAGTATATATAGAAAACAAAAAACGTTTATACTTCATTCAATATTTGAAATAAACCGTTTTTCCAATGGTAACTATTAAATAAAATAAAAAATAGAGGGGGTTACCGTTGACGAAAACGGTTTATCTCAAATATTTAAATATCTGTCTTTTTTGGTCAGTTCATTTTTATCTAATGGAAGCCAACGCTGTTAACCACAATTCAAACATTAACAATTCTCAACCGCTAACCAAAGCCAAAGCCCCACAACCTCCAAGAACTGGCACAGCGGTTAGAATAACCACCAAAAAGTCTAACAGCGAATTAAGAGAAATTCTTCAACAAATTTGCTCTAAATATCTCAAAGACGCCGAAGAAAACACACAACCAGACGCTACATACAATACTCAGTTCTGTGAAGTTCTGAACAAAGCAATTACTAGTTCAATTGAACTTACTAAGACAATTCCAAGTCCAATTGAGCTTAGCGATGTCTTAGTTCAGTATTTTCCAACATTTACTAAGCTTATAATGTTGAGAACTTTATACCAAGTTCGTCAAAATCTTCCTCGTTACATCCAACGGTCATTCGACAAGAGAATTGCCGAATTCCAAGTCTTTAGTTACGGATATGACGAAGATGAATACGTTGACGAGTTCGGAGACAACCGTACAAAATGGTTTGAATGTTATACGACAACACAATTTGAATTGGACTTTCTCGAATTCAACGCAGCAACCATTCATATCATTGCTCTTTACCTTTCCGAACAACAACAAGACCTCGCAGATGGAGATGTTGTTACTGTCGTCATGAAAACTCCTGAACAATTCGGAAAAAAGAAGTCTCTAATTGCCAAATTCGTTCCAGGACATCAGCTTTTCCAACGCACAGAAGTCTTGTGTATTCCTGGAACTAAGTTCTTTGTCAGGAGCGAACTCAAAGAAAGATATAATGTGTCATTCAATTACACATTATATAATGTTTTCGACCCAGAAGAAGGCTTCTTCCCAGAAGCAATGGAGGAGGAAGAAGAGGAGGAGGAAATACAAGACTCTATCCAAGAAGAGTCCTCCGAATTCACACCAGAAGACTAACAATTTTCCGAATAAAAACTTCATTTATACTAAACATCTTCGGGGCTAGAGGGCGCAACGCGCCTGGAAGCCCCACTACCTTTTTTTTAAATACACTATAAGTTTAAGCTTTAGCTGTAAAATAAACAGTAATATTAAATAAACATTATATTATATAGTCGGAGCGATTCTATATATGTACTCTTATGCCAACTAGTTACAACCTAGTAAAATACATGGAAATATTGTAATATCCTAGCATTGCTATCGAGAAATCAAAAAATATAAGCAAAAGTCATCTTATATTTAAAGATTTTTCAAGAGCTTTGTTTGGAAATTAGTTCATTGGAAGAAGTATATAGATATGAAAACCCAAAGTATTAAGTTCGATAATATATAGTTTTTTTTTATTTTAAAATTGAATGCATACAACATTGCTCCTCTGGAGTGAATTAATTAGTTCCAACTTTTTCAAGATTCTACAGTGTAATATGCTCCTTGGAATGTCTCTTGCATGAATGTTTTTGTTTACCATCTAAAGAATTAAGATTTGAGATACAATAATCTTTGGAAAAGTAGAGGATACAACAATAAAGTATGTTCTTTCGATACATGATATCATTTTGTTACAAAAATATTCTTACTTACTCATGATTCAAAAAAAAGGTTGCAGACATACTAAAATGTTATTTATGTGGCTTGTATTTACTAGCATATGTAATTTGGTGCTAACGTATACCATCAATTTCATTATAACACAGACATATATATTACTATTAGAATTTTATTTTAATTCAATGATAAAATCAAACATTCCTTTTTGAAAATCGTTCTATCTTGTTATTATCTTTGAATGCTGCATCAAGAACTAACAATTTACAATTTTTATTCAAATTATAATATAAAATTATAGCATATTGGTTTTCAAAGTATGTTTGCTAAAAGTAATTGCGCTTATCGTTTACCCCCGCATTAACACATATAAATTTGTATTAAAAAATGATATCAAATCAAAAATATGGCTTCCTTGCTAAGAAAAGCGTCAAATTTATTATGTTTCTCCTTAGCCGAAAGTGTATAAATTGGCAGTTAGATTTATAGTATCCTAACTGTTTTTTGTAAAGTTCGTCATATCTTTAATGGTACTATTTCAGCGTGTACAATGAATACAAAAATTCTAAGAGTGCCACATAAAATAGTACTTTAGACTTGAGTTAATGCTACCAAGCAAATGTTAAAAAGATGACTTTAGTGTTTTGATAATCAAAGATTAAAATCATTATTGTCTAAATCAATAATCATAACGACAGAAGTTAATGTTTTTTCATCAGTGCTTTAAATCCACTTTTAAAAGTATACCTCAAAAATCAAAATATCAAAAAAAATCTAGTTTTTATGAATCTAAAGCTTTCTATAGTTCACATGCAAAAACCTTTAGTTTTATACTTTTTTATGGTTTTCATGAGACAAAAAGTTATGATTTAATAATTATTTTTAATTTTCCGCTGTTATCAACATAGATGACAACTTCATACACTTAGTTATCTAATATCTTGACTATTACACTCCTTAACAAAAAAAAGGTAGTGGGGCTTCCAGGCGCGTTGCGCCCTCTAGCCCTGAAGATGTTTAGTATAAATGAAGTTTTTATTCGGAAAATTGTTAGTCTTCTGGGTCGAAAACATTATATAATATGTCACTTTTCACAAATTATATATGTTTTCATGTTTTGTCACTTTTCTGTCACTTTTCGGGTAAAAACATTATTATTATTATATATAAATGAATTTTACAAAACCACCGTTACCCTTCTTTGGAAATAAGAGTAGATGTAAAGATATTATATTGAGAGAACTTAAGAAACTACCGAATGGTCTAACATTTGTAGATTTGTTCGGTGGAAGTTTCTATATATCCCATTTATGTCATACAATATTCCCAGACTCAAAGATTATATGCAATGACTTCGACAACTATATGGACCGTCTCAAACATATTCCAGACACAAACAATATATTGAAAGAGTTAAAAGAAAAGATACCTATAGGTAAGATGGAAAGTATACCATTAGATAAGAAAAATATTGTGAGAGAGGTTTTGAAAAAAGCAGAATATATAGATTGGGATAGTATATCTGCTAGACTATTATATAGTGGTGCTATAAGAGTTCATGACATTGAAACACTTATGTCAAAAGTTTTATATCTTAACTATACAAATGTTTTCAAAGAGGACATAGAAAAATATATTGAGGGTATAGAGTTTGTGAGATGTCATTGGACAGAGTTGTATGAAAAATATAAAGACAAGGAAAATGTTTTCTTTATAGTGGACCCGCCGTTCTATAACACATGGGATTTTCAATACCAAGTAGACTGGACTTTGAGAGACTCTTTAGAAACTTTAGACGTTATACATAACCATCCATGCTTTTACTTTACATCCGATAAAAGTGGTTTGGAAACCGTTATGAGATGGTTAGAGGACATACATGACTATGAGTTTATATATGACAAGATAGAATATGAGAGAGGTCCTATAAACTGGAGAAAGTGTCATAACAAAGAAATTTTACTAGTAAGTAAATGTGGTTTGAAATAGGATTACTTGTTTTAAGTTTTTTCCATTGTGACATTTATTTATTTGACGTGGCAGAAAAGTACAGAGAATATAAAGATGAACCAATGCCTGCAAATGTTCAGCATATGTACTCGTAAGAGATATTTTTATCTAATATTAAATGGACGCACAGAACTTAGCGAATGCACAGCAACCTGGACAACCAAACCCAGAGAATATTCCAAATGAAGTTAGAATACAAACTGCAATGGCAAACTATGGTCAAGTGCCAACAGATGTACAAATGCAAACTGCCATGTCAAATGACGCTGTGTTAGGTTTGCCACCATGGTATGCAAATATGAGATGGAAAGAGTTTTATACAAACCCTGAAGTGGGATATAAACAACTTTATGCAGATGACGCGAACACAGGAGTTGACCCAGAATATGTTTTCTACCAGAGGAGAAACAGAATGTATGAGCTCCAGTTAAAGAATGCTATGGAACTCAACAGGAAACGTAAGAGACTAGGTGGACATTAGATTTTTACATATAGTAAAATGGGTTTCTTCAGTAGTATTGGAAACTTCTTCAGAAGAGTTGGAAGAGGTATATGGAATGGAATAAAAACCGTAGGAAGAGGAATTTGGAACGGAGTCAAAAATATTGGTAAAAGAGTAGGTCAGTTTGTTGGTATTATACCTAAAGACCCTGAACCAGAAGAACAAGCTCCTGTTATACAACAGCCTGAACCTGCACCACAGTCTAGTTGGCAACCAAATCCAACACCTCAACCGTATTAAAAAATTATATTTTTACCGTTCGATAGTAGTTGTATATGAAACTAAGTTCTAAGTAAAACGCATGGTATAATGGAATTATTCTCTTTCTTCCATCTGTTGTAAACCATACTTGAAAGTCTGAAATACTTCCACTTGGTGGTTCATATAGCTTTGTAGGTTTTTCGTAAAAGTCATTTGCCAAGCATAAAAAAGAGTTTTGTGCACCAGAAAATGAAGCATGAACTATAATAGCATCTGAGTCGAAAACATTTTCATATGTTCCATTAGGGTTTTCGACTTCATAAAAGTCCGGGTGTACTGGATATTCTGCAGGCTGATTTAACATCCTCATAAATCTATACCATGCCAAGTTGTTATATTTTGTAGAAATATAAACGTTTTCTCCAAGGTCTTCTATTCTATTGATTTTAACAGTTGCATTTTTCCTGTCATAAATAATATCGAGATGGTACTCTCCCTCGTCAATGTTATACTGGTTTGCATATTCGATATAGATGTCGTTTATTTTTTCTTGAAAAGCTTGAAGAGTTGTTTCTAAGTTTACAAGCAAACTAACTTGTAAAAGTTTTCCCTGTTCAAATTTCTCATACATACGTTTTTCTTTGTTATAGTATCGAACTTCAAAACCGACCGTAAATGGGAAACCATGTATGGCTTCTGAAATGAACTTCATTCTACGAAAGCCAATAGCTTTTGTGACGGATGGGTCTCTTAACCATCTTAACGGGTAGTCAAAACGATAGCCTTCATGCTTTACGGTCTCTGTCTCAAACTTTTGACCGACATTCGTAAAAAGTTCATCTAATGGTTTAGTTGTAGCAACTCTTGAATTTTCTTTTTCTATTGAAAGCATATTTTATCTAGAATAAAAATGTCAAATGAAACAGCGTCTATGAGAGAAATACAACACAACCGACAACTCATTATACAAGCTCTAAATAAGAACACAACAAACTTTTCAAACTATTCTAAGATATCTGAGTCATTGAAAGAAGGAAATTTAAAACTGACATTAAACCCAATGACAGATGAGTTTCTATTTCAAGACAATAAGAACCATACTGTCTGTATAAATCCAACAAAAGGAACTTTAAACGAGAAACCTATAAATGAACTTCTTTTGAAAGCAGATGTTGACAACAAAGCAGACAAAACATATGTAGACGATGCAATAGCAAAAGAAGAAGAAAGAGCTGACAAAGCTTATGCAACAAAAGAACATACTCATCCTGAACTAGCAGACAAAACATATGTTGACAATAAAATGTCAAGTGAAGTGACAAGAGCTGAAAACGAATATTCTAAAAAGACTCATATACATACCATTGCAAATATTACAAACTTACAAGAAACCTTAAACAGTAAAAGTGCCGTTGGACATACACATACCATTGCAAATATTACAAACTTACAAGAAACCTTAAACAGGAAAAGTGCCGTTGGACATACACATACCATTGCAAATATTACAAACTTACAAGAAACCTTAAACAGGAAAAGTGCCGTTGGACATACACATACATCTTCTGAAATAACAGACTTAAACGTTAGCCTTGAAAAGAAAGCAGATAAGAACCATACACATACAAGTTTTACAACTGTTGCTATAGAAAGTATTGAAGGAACGGTTGAAGAAACTGGTGGGGATGCATTATATTGTAAACCTCCTAACTTTCCACAAGGTTTAACATCGGATGACGACATAACGACGATGAGAAACATTAGATGTAAAGATGTTTATGTCATGAAGGATGAATATAATATTAAATTCACTGCTCAAGATTTATATGACAAGAAAGCAGACAAAACAGAGCTTCAAACATTAAAGACAGAAATACTTCAAACATTATATCCTATAGGCTCTATTTATACGTCAATGAACTCTACCAGACCAGAAGTAGTACTTGGTTTTGGAACTTGGACTCAAATAGTCGACAGGTTTTTGTATTGTGCAAACTCTTCAAAGGAAACAGGTGGAAGTAAAACGATTTCAGGTGAAAATTTACCTGCACACAGTCACTACATAGATTTAAGTACATCTCAAGCAGGTTGGCATAAGCATAGATATTGGGATTGGTCAGCAATGACAAAAGGTAAAGGATATGATGTTAAAGACAACGTTAAGTTTGCTATAAATTGTTTCTGGAGTAACACTGAGGGAGGAGGAAACCATACACATCGCGTTTCAGGATATACGCAAACAACGGGACAAAGTAAAGACTACATGCCACCTTACATGACAGTTTACGCATGGTATAGAATTGCTTAGTCGTCATTTTCAACTTCTTTAGCATATTCGTCAGGAGTTGTCTTATATTTGTTAGGAACTGTCTTTGAAAGTATACCACCTTGAACTTTGACAAGTTTGAAACGAGGTCTGACAATAGTAGTTTTATCTTCTGCTTGCAGTGTGTACATTTTGCCATGTTTGCCTAAAACTTCATAATATTCTCTTGTATACTTTCTTCTATTTTTACGAACACGAATGTGAGTACCTGTCGGGTTCCCATTGTTGTCATAGTCAATAGTATTTTCATATGGGTCGCGTTTAGGTATTTCTATTTTTACTTTGTCACCTTTCTGAAGTTTGAAGCCCGGCATTCTTTCTTGTTTGTCTCTTTTGACTAAATTATTAAATATATAGTCTTTCTCTAAGTCAGGGTTGTTTTTCATTTCTTCGGGGGAATGGTTTCCCAAACCTTTTTGTTTACGGCTATTGTAAATATTTAAAACTTGTCTCATCTTTGCCTGGGAGAAGTGTCTATATTTGTCGTCATATGACATTTCATTTGCTTCACCACCTTGTGGTTGGTTTAAGTCTCTTAACATTTTTATACAACCGTCAATGACACCAAGAGCAGAATGGTTTTGGTCGACAATGAAATATTGGTTTACATTTTTTGAACGCAGATAGTTTTTTACATCATCTGATTTGAAAGAACTTTCACAGTCAGATGTCAGTTTTGTTGGATGGTATTTGTCAACGAATATTGTCAAAGCTGCTAAGATATCTAAAATAGCTTTGGACTGTAATGGTATGGCTTCACAGTATCTTGTATTTTGACCAACAAATATTAACCAGTATGGTGGTCCATCTTCTCTATACCTCGGAATGTTTTCCAAGATATCCATAAACCAAGCATTTGGTGTTGAACTAAAGATTTTTATCATGAGTGCTTTCTTTGTCGCTTTAGAAACATAGGGGTCCTTGTTCGGATTCGTCATTTTTTACCCTATAAGAAATGGGTTTATTTGGCGCATTAGCAGGAGTTGCATCCGTCTGGTATCCGACATAGAAAATTCCATTGCAACCTTTCTTGTCAGACAACTTGGCAGAAGGTTTTATTTCAATGTCTTGTTCCACGTATAAGAATGAGTTGTCAATATAAATAATATGAAACCTGTCGCAAGCAATATCTACTGTTGTTGAAGAACCTTCTCCAAACTCACCTACGTTTCCATAAGAAACAGCAGTTGTATATTCGTAAGTTCCAGGAACTATTTCTGACCTTCTAATGGCATTGTCGCATTCGTTATACCATTCGGAAACATTTCCGTTCATGGCATCCAAAACTGTTGGCGTTATATTCTGAGCGGCATACATTTCATATGGGTAAAAATATAGAATAGTTGGATTTATATGTCATAATAGAACCCACTCGGACCAAGCTTTACTTTCTTCCTGACTGAGTTTTTAACTGAGTTTTTAACTCTTCTTTTTCCTTCATTGCCACTACTTTCACTAGATGAAGTTACTTCTTCACTACTTTCACTTTGTTCTACTCTTCTCTTCTTCTTTGGTGTCGCTTTTGGTAACTTGCCCTCTGCTTCAAGTTGTTGCATCTTTGCCTCATGTTCACCTAGTATGTTGTAAATTTCCCATGTCCTTTTTGCCTTTGGGCTCTGGTCGCCCATCTCAGGTAACCTATATCCTAGAAAGATTTTGTCATAGTTTGTATTTGAGTCGTCGCTTATTGTTTGCATGACTCTTTCCTGAGTTTCCGGTTCAAGCTCTTCAAACAGAGCTTGTCCATATGGAATAAGCTCGTTTCCAAATATATGTTTTTGTAGCCATTCTGGTTTTCTTTCCATGTAACCAATAATATCTTTTGTGAATGGGAAAGCTTTTACCCAACGTTTCAGTCTTGCGTCATTTATTTCTGTAGTTGGTTTTATTTTGTCAAGGAACATGTTTTTCAATACTAACATTTCATTTGGTACTGTCCATTTGAGTTTTCTTAAATATTCATCCCTTCTCATTTCATTGTCTGCAAAGTAAGTTTTTATGGCATTTTGCAAACTTTCGTTTGCAAGGTCATGTACAATAGGTTCTCTTCCGTCTCTCTCCCTAACTTTCTTTCTAAACTCTTCACCAAATATACCATCTCTATGGTTCTGTGTAGTTCTTTGAGATAAATGTTCTAGAACGTCAGGTGTTATATTTCCCTCAGCCATGTTCATTTCATACTGGTCCAAAATATCTGCATCTTTCATATCTTTCAATGGCATTAAAGCCGCGCTGAAAATACCCGTTATATCTGGTTCACCATTCACTTCCATTGCGTCTACAACTTCTTGGAATTGAGGTTGTAAGTTTATGAACCACCTATCCGGATTAGCTTTATGACCCCACTTCATTGTAGTTCCATAGTCTGCAGAAACAAAAGTAGGTTTGTTTCCATATTGGTTAGGTTCTGAATGAACTTTAAACAATGTTTCATTTCTATATGTTTTGTTGAAATTTAACCTTTTATTTTCACCGAGTTCAGCCAAAGATTGAACGTTATATGGTCGTAAGTAAAAAGGATTATTGTATTTGCGTACATTTTCTTTCAGTACTTCCACTCTATGCTGAATATTTTCATCTGATGTTGGAGTCTTTTGTATGTCGGTGAACATTTTTCGATATCCTTCTACTATGTCAGCCGAATTTTTCTTAGACTCTTGGAAAGATTCCATATTCTCCTCATACTCTTGTTGAGGGTCAAGATTTTTCGGCTGTTCCAAATCTTCATCTAGTTCTGTGAAGTTAGTTTCCAAAGGAGGGACTTGTTCGTTTCCTTCAGGCTCTTCTAGCTGTTGTTGCTGAACTATTTCTTCCATGTCTGGTTGTATCTGAACTTCTTCCTGTTGAGTTTCTTGTACCTCATCTGCTGGCATTTCATATATTCCGAGACCGTTTTTAACAAGTTCCCTATCTAAGTCATCCGGACTCATAAACCTTTCTTCTTTCGTTCCGTCTCTATTTTTTACACGTTTCATGAAGAGAGTTGAATTATCATTTAGCTCTGACATCAAATATCTCGGAGTAAATTCATCCATGTCATTTGGATGATATGCTATTAAATCATATCCCTTAGCGAGCTTGTATTTTCCAGGTTTGAGATTATATCCGATTTGATGCTGAACCATAAAGCTAAATAGGTTCGGGTCAGTATTTCCTTCCTTGAACTTTCTAATAGCTTCTTTATATCTGTCACTAAAGTCAAGAGTATCTGGGTAACCATAATCTTCCTTAAGCATTTTTAAGAATTCTTGGTTTCCTTTTTCTCTACTTCTTTTATGTCCTTGCTCTGTTTGTGGTTGTTGTTGTGCAGGGTTTTGAACTGTTGGTTGCTGTGCTGGTTGTGCTGGTTTTGGTTGTTGTGCTGGATTTTGAACTGTTGGTTGCTGTGCAGGGTTTTGAACTGTTGGTTTTGGTTGTTGTTGTGGTGCTGGATTTTGAACTGTTGGTTGTTGTGTTGGTTTTGTTGCATGCCTGTGTCTGTGTCCATGTGACGATGTAAATGTTTTAGGTAGTCCTGGTGCAGGTGCTTCTCTTGGAGGGTTTGGTGGTATATAAGTTCCACCAGCTGGCACATATGTTCCATCTGCAGCATAGTGTCCTACCTGACTTTTCGTTCTTAAGAAAGCATTTACTAGGTCTGTTTTGATCTGTTGTAACTCTTTTTCTTGACTTTCCACAACAGTTGCTCTAACGGCGTCATAGGCACTTTGAACTGCCTGTCTCGTTGCTGCATCTGTTATTTTCGTCATATTTTGTGCTACTTCTCTTAACTCTTTGTCGAAACCTTCAGACTTCAGTTTCTTTCCAGATGAGAAGTCGTTCACTAGTTTCACCTTACTATGAAGAGCTTCGAAGGCATTCTTAAAGTCAGCATTCATTAAAGCTTCATTTGAACTGTCTTCATCCGCTTGTATTTTTGTCCTTATTGACCCTATAAGTTGGGCTGCTTTAGCGTTGGCTTGGGCATCTAACCAGTCATTATTAGCTTTTATATATTCTGCGCTGTTCATTGCCTTTTGCATGGCTGCGTCGTTATTTTTACTTTCTTGTGCTAAGTTTTCATACTGTACGGTTTGGTTTTGCAACTGTAAAAGTTTTTCTGCCTTTACATTTGCTTCAACTTCTTTTTTATACTCATCGCTATCCATATATGTCTTCAGGGCTTTTTGTTTTATTTCTTCATCTTTCAGTACTTTATATTGAGTAGTATGGTTTTTCAAATTTATAACATCTTGTTCCATTTTTGCTACTTCTGCTGCTTTTTCTGACACTTTTTTCGCATATTCCTCTGTACTTAGTTCTTTCAGTTGTTCTTCTTTCTTCTTTTTCTCTACGTTTAACTCATTGAGTTTCTTTGTGTGTCTGTCATATTCTAGTTTCTTTTCGTTTTCACTTATTTGTTTCTGTATGTCTATGTTTGACTTTTTGACATCTGTTATTTGATTTTTGAGTGAACTCAAATTCATTTGACTTTGAGGGTTATAAGCTGTTCCGTCTGCAGCTCCACCATAGCCTGCCATTTTCGCTAAAAGTGCCGCTCTTAAACCTCCACTCTGTGCACCAATAACTCGGTTTAAAAGCATAGGGTTGCTTGACATTTGTTGCAACATAGTGGGGTCATTCATCATTTGTTGTTGCAACTGTTGTTGTGGTGTCAGTTTTACTATTGGATGTTTCAATGCTCCCTTCCTCTTACGTATATTCTTACGTAGCTTACGTGGCATTTTAAGTGAAGTTAAAAAGCGGTTTTTGACAGATGTTTATATGACACTTTTTGTTCAGCACAAAAAACTACTCGGTCAAAGTGTTGTCAGTTTTGTAAAATAACCGTCCTATCTCATTCTATAAGGGGAAAAAGGCTTCTCAAAGTATACTTCCTTGGAACGCCCGTAACTTTTCCTGTAGCGACGATAGACCCTTACTTGTCCGGACAAAGTTATACTATTTTGAGTGCTCTACAAAAAAGTCAACGGCGACGACTCTCAAAAACCGTTGTGTAAAAAGTTTTACCGTTGGACAAAAAAGTATATATAGAAAACAAAAAACGTTTATACTTCATTCAATATTTGAAATAAACCGTTTTTCCAATGGTAACTATTAAATAAAATAAAAAATAGAGGGGGTTACCGTTGACGAAAACGGTTTATCTCAAATATTTAAATATCTGTCTTTTTTGGTCAGTTCATTTTTATCTAATGGAAGCCAACGCTGTTAACCACAATTCAAACATTAACAATTCTCAACCGCTAACCAAAGCCAAAGCCCCACAACCTCCAAGAACTGGCACAGCGGTTAGAATAACCACCAAAAAGTCTAACAGCGAATTAAGAGAAATTCTTCAACAAATTTGCTCTAAATATCTCAAGAAAGAAGACGCCGAAGAAAACACACAACCAGACGCTACATACAATACTCAGTTCTGTGAAGTTCTGAACAAAGCAATTACTAGTTCAATTGAACTTACTAAGACAATTCCAAGTCCAATTGAGCTTAGCGATGTCTTAGTTCAGTATTTTCCAACATTTACTAAGCTTATAATGTTGAGAACTTTATACCAAGTTCGTCAAAATCTTCCTCGTTACATCCAACGGTCATTCGACAAGAGAATTGCCGAATTCCAAGTCTTTAGTTACGGATATGACGAAGATGAATACGTTGACGAGTTCGGAGACAACCGTACAAAATGGTTTGAATGTTATACGACAACACAATTTGAATTGGACTTTCTCGAATTCAACGCAGCAACCATTCATATCATTGCTCTTTACCTTTCCGAACAACAACAAGACCTCGCAGATGGAGATGTTGTTACTGTCGTCATGAAAACTCCTGAACAATTCGGAAAAAAGAAGTCTCTAATTGCCAAATTCGTTCCAGGACATCAGCTTTTCCAACGCACAGAAGTCTTGTGTATTCCTGGAACTAAGTTCTTTGTCAGGAGCGAACTCAAAGAAAGATATAATGTGTCATTCAATTACACATTATATAATGTTTTCGACCCAGAAGAAGGCTTCTTCCCAGAAGCAATGGAGGAGGAAGAAGAGGAGGAGGAAATACAAGACTCTATCCAAGAAGAGTCCTCCGAATTCACACCAGAAGACTAACAATTTTCCGAATAAAAACTTCATTTATACTAAACATCTTCGGGGCTAGAGGGCGCAACGCGCCTGGAAGCCCCACTACCTTTTTTTTAAATACACTATAAGTTTAAGCTTTAGCTGTAAAATAAACAGTAATATTAAATAAACATTATATTATATAGTCGGAGCGATTCTATATATGTACTCTTATGCCAACTAGTTACAACCTAGTAAAATACATGGAAATATTGTAATATCCTAGCATTGCTATCGAGAAATCAAAAAATATAAGCAAAAGTCATCTTATATTTAAAGATTTTTCAAGAGCTTTGTTTGGAAATTAGTTCATTGGAAGAAGTATATAGATATGAAAACCCAAAGTATTAAGTTCGATAATATATAGTTTTTTTTTATTTTAAAATTGAATGCATACAACATTGCTCCTCTGGAGTGAATTAATTAGTTCCAACTTTTTCAAGATTCTACAGTGTAATATGCTCCTTGGAATGTCTCTTGCATGAATGTTTTTGTTTACCATCTAAAGAATTAAGATTTGAGATACAATAATCTTTGGAAAAGTAGAGGATACAACAATAAAGTATGTTCTTTCGATACATGATATCATTTTGTTACAAAAATATTCTTACTTACTCATGATTCAAAAAAAAGGTTGCAGACATACTAAAATGTTATTTATGTGGCTTGTATTTACTAGCATATGTAATTTGGTGCTAACGTATACCATCAATTTCATTATAACACAGACATATATATTACTATTAGAATTTTATTTTAATTCAATGATAAAATCAAACATTCCTTTTTGAAAATCGTTCTATCTTGTTATTATCTTTGAATGCTGCATCAAGAACTAACAATTTACAATTTTTATTCAAATTATAATATAAAATTATAGCATATTGGTTTTCAAAGTATGTTTGCTAAAAGTAATTGCGCTTATCGTTTACCCCCGCATTAACACATATAAATTTGTATTAAAAAATGATATCAAATCAAAAATATGGCTTCCTTGCTAAGAAAAGCGTCAAATTTATTATGTTTCTCCTTAGCCGAAAGTGTATAAATTGGCAGTTAGATTTATAGTATCCTAACTGTTTTTTGTAAAGTTCGTCATATCTTTAATGGTACTATTTCAGCGTGTACAATGAATACAAAAATTCTAAGAGTGCCACATAAAATAGTACTTTAGACTTGAGTTAATGCTACCAAGCAAATGTTAAAAAGATGACTTTAGTGTTTTGATAATCAAAGATTAAAATCATTATTGTCTAAATCAATAATCATAACGACAGAAGTTAATGTTTTTTCATCAGTGCTTTAAATCCACTTTTAAAAGTATACCTCAAAAATCAAAATATCAAAAAAAATCTAGTTTTTATGAATCTAAAGCTTTCTATAGTTCACATGCAAAAACCTTTAGTTTTATACTTTTTTATGGTTTTCATGAGACAAAAAGTTATGATTTAATAATTATTTTTAATTTTCCGCTGTTATCAACATAGATGACAACTTCATACACTTAGTTATCTAATATCTTGACTATTACACTCCTTAACAAAAAAAAGGTAGTGGGGCTTCCAGGCGCGTTGCGCCCTCTAGCCCTGAAGATGTTTAGTATAAATGAAGTTTTTATTCGGAAAATTGTTAGTCTTCTGGGTCGAAAACATTATATAATATGTCACTTTTCACAAATTATATATGTTTTCATGTTTTGTCACTTTTCTGTCACTTTTCGGGTAAAAACATTATTATTATTATATATAAATGAATTTTACAAAACCACCGTTACCCTTCTTTGGAAATAAGAGTAGATGTAAAGATATTATATTGAGAGAACTTAAGAAACTACCGAATGGTCTAACATTTGTAGATTTGTTCGGTGGAAGTTTCTATATATCCCATTTATGTCATACAATATTCCCAGACTCAAAGATTATATGCAATGACTTCGACAACTATATGGACCGTCTCAAACATATTCCAGACACAAACAATATATTGAAAGAGTTAAAAGAAAAGATACCTATAGGTAAGATGGAAAGTATACCATTAGATAAGAAAAATATTGTGAGAGAGGTTTTGAAAAAAGCAGAATATATAGATTGGGATAGTATATCTGCTAGACTATTATATAGTGGTGCTATAAGAGTTCATGACATTGAAACACTTATGTCAAAAGTTTTATATCTTAACTATACAAATGTTTTCAAAGAGGACATAGAAAAATATATTGAGGGTATAGAGTTTGTGAGATGTCATTGGACAGAGTTGTATGAAAAATATAAAGACAAGGAAAATGTTTTCTTTATAGTGGACCCGCCGTTCTATAACACATGGGATTTTCAATACCAAGTAGACTGGACTTTGAGAGACTCTTTAGAAACTTTAGACGTTATACATAACCATCCATGCTTTTACTTTACATCCGATAAAAGTGGTTTGGAAACCGTTATGAGATGGTTAGAGGACATACATGACTATGAGTTTATATATGACAAGATAGAATATGAGAGAGGTCCTATAAACTGGAGAAAGTGTCATAACAAAGAAATTTTACTAGTAAGTAAATGTGGTTTGAAATAGGATTACTTGTTTTAAGTTTTTTCCATTGTGACATTTATTTATTTGACGTGGCAGAAAAGTACAGAGAATATAAAGATGAACCAATGCCTGCAAATGTTCAGCATATGTACTCGTAAGAGATATTTTTATCTAATATTAAATGGACGCACAGAACTTAGCGAATGCACAGCAACCTGGACAACCAAACCCAGAGAATATTCCAAATGAAGTTAGAATACAAACTGCAATGGCAAACTATGGTCAAGTGCCAACAGATGTACAAATGCAAACTGCCATGTCAAATGACGCTGTGTTAGGTTTGCCACCATGGTATGCAAATATGAGATGGAAAGAGTTTTATACAAACCCTGAAGTGGGATATAAACAACTTTATGCAGATGACGCGAACACAGGAGTTGACCCAGAATATGTTTTCTACCAGAGGAGAAACAGAATGTATGAGCTCCAGTTAAAGAATGCTATGGAACTCAACAGGAAACGTAAGAGACTAGGTGGACATTAGATTTTTACATATAGTAAAATGGGTTTCTTCAGTAGTATTGGAAACTTCTTCAGAAGAGTTGGAAGAGGTATATGGAATGGAATAAAAACCGTAGGAAGAGGAATTTGGAACGGAGTCAAAAATATTGGTAAAAGAGTAGGTCAGTTTGTTGGTATTATACCTAAAGACCCTGAACCAGAAGAACAAGCTCCTGTTATACAACAGCCTGAACCTGCACCACAGTCTAGTTGGCAACCAAATCCAACACCTCAACCGTATTAAAAAATTATATTTTTACCGTTCGATAGTAGTTGTATATGAAACTAAGTTCTAAGTAAAACGCATGGTATAATGGAATTATTCTCTTTCTTCCATCTGTTGTAAACCATACTTGAAAGTCTGAAATACTTCCACTTGGTGGTTCATATAGCTTTGTAGGTTTTTCGTAAAAGTCATTTGCCAAGCATAAAAAAGAGTTTTGTGCACCAGAAAATGAAGCATGAACTATAATAGCATCTGAGTCGAAAACATTTTCATATGTTCCATTAGGGTTTTCGACTTCATAAAAGTCCGGGTGTACTGGATATTCTGCAGGCTGATTTAACATCCTCATAAATCTATACCATGCCAAGTTGTTATATTTTGTAGAAATATAAACGTTTTCTCCAAGGTCTTCTATTCTATTGATTTTAACAGTTGCATTTTTCCTGTCATAAATAATATCGAGATGGTACTCTCCCTCGTCAATGTTATACTGGTTTGCATATTCGATATAGATGTCGTTTATTTTTTCTTGAAAAGCTTGAAGAGTTGTTTCTAAGTTTACAAGCAAACTAACTTGTAAAAGTTTTCCCTGTTCAAATTTCTCATACATACGTTTTTCTTTGTTATAGTATCGAACTTCAAAACCGACCGTAAATGGGAAACCATGTATGGCTTCTGAAATGAACTTCATTCTACGAAAGCCAATAGCTTTTGTGACGGATGGGTCTCTTAACCATCTTAACGGGTAGTCAAAACGATAGCCTTCATGCTTTACGGTCTCTGTCTCAAACTTTTGACCGACATTCGTAAAAAGTTCATCTAATGGTTTAGTTGTAGCAACTCTTGAATTTTCTTTTTCTATTGAAAGCATATTTTATCTAGAATAAAAATGTCAAATGAAACAGCGTCTATGAGAGAAATACAACACAACCGACAACTCATTATACAAGCTCTAAATAAGAACACAACAAACTTTTCAAACTATTCTAAGATATCTGAGTCATTGAAAGAAGGAAATTTAAAACTGACATTAAACCCAATGACAGATGAGTTTCTATTTCAAGACAATAAGAACCATACTGTCTGTATAAATCCAACAAAAGGAACTTTAAACGAGAAACCTATAAATGAACTTCTTTTGAAAGCAGATGTTGACAACAAAGCAGACAAAACATATGTAGACGATGCAATAGCAAAAGAAGAAGAAAGAGCTGACAAAGCTTATGCAACAAAAGAACATACTCATCCTGAACTAGCAGACAAAACATATGTTGACAATAAAATGTCAAGTGAAGTGACAAGAGCTGAAAAGAATATTCTAAAAAGACTCATATACATACCATTGCAAATATTACAAACTTACAAGAAACCTTAAACAGTAAAAGTGCCGTTGGACATACACATACCATTGCAAATATTACAAACTTACAAGAAACCTTAAACAGGAAAAGTGCCGTTGGACATACACATACCATTGCAAATATTACAAACTTACAAGAAACCTTAAACAGGAAAAGTGCCGTTGGACATACACATACATCTTCTGAAATAACAGACTTAAACGTTAGCCTTGAAAAGAAAGCAGATAAGAACCATACACATACAAGTTTTACAACTGTTGCTATAGAAAGTATTGAAGGAACGGTTGAAGAAACTGGTGGGGATGCATTATATTGTAAACCTCCTAACTTTCCACAAGGTTTAACATCGGATGACGACATAACGACGATGAGAAACATTAGATGTAAAGATGTTTATGTCATGAAGGATGAATATAATATTAAATTCACTGCTCAAGATTTATATGACAAGAAAGCAGACAAAACAGAGCTTCAAACATTAAAGACAGAAATACTTCAAACATTATATCCTATAGGCTCTATTTATACGTCAATGAACTCTACCAGACCAGAAGTAGTACTTGGTTTTGGAACTTGGACTCAAATAGTCGACAGGTTTTTGTATTGTGCAAACTCTTCAAAGGAAACAGGTGGAAGTAAAACGATTTCAGGTGAAAATTTACCTGCACACAGTCACTACATAGATTTAAGTACATCTCAAGCAGGTTGGCATAAGCATAGATATTGGGATTGGTCAGCAATGACAAAAGGTAAAGGATATGATGTTAAAGACAACGTTAAGTTTGCTATAAATTGTTTCTGGAGTAACACTGAGGGAGGAGGAAACCATACACATCGCGTTTCAGGATATACGCAAACAACGGGACAAAGTAAAGACTACATGCCACCTTACATGACAGTTTACGCATGGTATAGAATTGCTTAGTCGTCATTTTCAACTTCTTTAGCATATTCGTCAGGAGTTGTCTTATATTTGTTAGGAACTGTCTTTGAAAGTATACCACCTTGAACTTTGACAAGTTTGAAACGAGGTCTGACAATAGTAGTTTTATCTTCTGCTTGCAGTGTGTACATTTTGCCATGTTTGCCTAAAACTTCATAATATTCTCTTGTATACTTTCTTCTATTTTTACGAACACGAATGTGAGTACCTGTCGGGTTCCCATTGTTGTCATAGTCAATAGTATTTTCATATGGGTCGCGTTTAGGTATTTCTATTTTTACTTTGTCACCTTTCTGAAGTTTGAAGCCCGGCATTCTTTCTTGTTTGTCTCTTTTGACTAAATTATTAAATATATAGTCTTTCTCTAAGTCAGGGTTGTTTTTCATTTCTTCGGGGGAATGGTTTCCCAAACCTTTTTGTTTACGGCTATTGTAAATATTTAAAACTTGTCTCATCTTTGCCTGGGAGAAGTGTCTATATTTGTCGTCATATGACATTTCATTTGCTTCACCACCTTGTGGTTGGTTTAAGTCTCTTAACATTTTTATACAACCGTCAATGACACCAAGAGCAGAATGGTTTTGGTCGACAATGAAATATTGGTTTACATTTTTTGAACGCAGATAGTTTTTTACATCATCTCTGATTTGAAAGAACTTTCACAGTCAGATGTCAGTTTTGTTGGATGGTATTTGTCAACGAATATTGTCAAAGCTGCTAAGATATCTAAAATAGCTTTGGACTGTAATGGTATGGCTTCACAGTATCTTGTGTTTTGACCGACAAATATTAGCCAGTATGGTGGTCCATCTTCTCTATACCTCGGAATGTTTTCCAAGATATCCATAAACCAAGCATTTGGTGTTGAACTAAAGATTTTTACATGAGTGCTTTCTTTGTCGCTTTAGAAACATAGGGGTCCTTGTTTGAATTCGTCATTTTTAACCTATAAGAAATGGGTTTATTTGGCGCGTTAGCAGGAGTTGCATCCAGATTTTTACCCGCAGTGGAACAATAGCCAAGGTGTATTTGGAGTTGGAAGGAAGATTTTGAGTACATTAGGTATAACTTAAGAGAAAGCACAACCTATTATACAAACTGTACAGAAAGGTTGGGATGTAGCACGAGATGCAACAAATCTTATTCCAAATCCTGAAACAAGAGGAAAAGTTCAAGGATGGATGGACAATGTAGGAAGACAAGCAGGAAACTATTATAACAAAGCAAATGACTACTATAACCAAGCAGGACACTATATGGACCAAGGTGAAAGATTCTTTAACAGAGGATATAACATGCACAACAGTGGGTAAACAATAACCAACCGCAACCACCTCAAACTTGGGGAATGTAAAATTTTTTACTGAGATGAAATGAACAATACAGCATTGAGACAAATGGGTTCAAGATGGATTTGTCGGCTTCCAGCAGTTACACAACGTGTTTGTCAAGTTCTTCCTATACCTCAGGAAGTTTTAGACCGACTTAAAAAAACCAACAACCAGTTGAAAACAAACCAAACTAAAAATTTTTTACTGAGATGAAATGACCGAAGAAGTTGAAACGGTAGATTTGACACCACAAACAAAAAAAGTTCAGAACCATTGTCAAAACCTGTCAAAGAACTTACAGATGAAGAGAAAATTCAATAATAGAAAGTGCCAGGTCTGGAAATACAAACCCTAACTATATAAGTCACTTTTCATAAAATGGAACGGCTAGTATCTCAAAAAAGAAACAGACTCTCACAAATAAAATATTGAAGTCTGAAGGAGCTTTCGAGACAACAGATGGAAAAGTTTACTTCACTGACCAACAGTTCATTATAGAACATCTCATTGACTTAGAGTCGAAATATTCTAAACTTTACAACAAACACAAAAAGTTGAAAGGAAAACAAAAACAAATGGCATATGATATTTATGAAGATGTTGACGACACAAACTGTTCCTGCAAGTGAAGTAAAGTCAGAGGAACCGAAAAGTGACGAAAAACCGATAGAAGAAGAAAAACCAAAAACTGAAGATAAACCAAAACCAAAGTTAGTTTGGAAACTAAACCAAGTCAACCTTCATTAGCTGGTATGGGTTGGCGTCAAAGACTTATGGCAGCAGGCGGTTATGTAAAGTAAAGAAAAAATATTTTTTTATTTTTATAAAAATGCCCCCATATAGAATGGATAGAAAATCTGCTAGAATAAAAGCAGAGTTGCAAAGATATGGTTGGAGAGTTTCGAAGAAGTTTAAATATAGGAAGGAAGACCCATAAAAGTCTATGACAAATTGTCTGGTCTTCGCTACGAAATGGATTTGGAAACAGCACGTGCCAATTATCCAAACAGACTAGAGAGGTAGAAAGAAGAACGTCTTATGGACATGCCTTTCGATGTTAGTGAACCTCAAGTTGAAGGACACGACGGCTTTGCCAGATTCTACTGGAAACATGACGAACAATTGCATCCTTTTGAGAAGGAAAAAAGGAAAGGTGAAGACGCACATGCTCCCATGAAAGAACAAGATATGCATATGAGAATACCTGTGAAGTTAGAAGTCAAATTACTTCTGGTCGAACCTTTACAGTAAACTTTGACGAAGGAAAGAACAAAGAAGGCTTCATGGGAGTACTTGCTGCATACAAGACGGAAATAAGAAAGGACACAATCTCAGATTGACCATAACAGATTTGGATGGTCACATTTACTATGCATATGGCAATGAACAAACAGCTGCAATGCTTCTTGACGCTTTCAAGACTACAAAGAGAGAACAAAATGGTTGACTCCGACTCAGACATTTTGAATGCAATTGAAGGAATTGCAAGTGTCAAGTTCGAATGGTACCAACCTAACCCTCAAGCAGTCAGACAACATGCTGGATACTTCCCGTTCAGAAATAAGTCTGACATTGACTTGACAAGGTATGGAATTTACAATTCAATTGAAACAATTGTCAATGAACCTTGTATTCTTACATGTCTCAGGAACTCTGGTCTTGTTACAGATGAGAAAATGAAGTATCTTGAGTCATGTGTGAAGACAAGGTACATTCTCAGAGTCAATTGGCAAAAATTGCACCGTTGGCAAATGTCAATATCCGAGTCAACATACCTACAGCTAAAGGTTCTTCACATGACGACTATGTTGTTGACAAAGACTTACCATGGTTGAAGATTGTAATTGTCCACAACCACTTCATGTTGAACGAAAGTCTTACAAACCCATTGTTCGGAAAAGGCAAGTGCAACATT